ATATTTTTTTTTACAATCTGTCGTCTCGTCAACACATAACCACAGCCGTGTATTTTTTAATGCACATTTAATCCTATTTACAATGTCTTCACGAACACTTGGTACATATTTATGTAACAATGAACGACTTGGTAAATTCACCGGGGGATTGTATTTATTCCAGAACTCCCGAAATGCTGGTTTATCCAATATGTGCAGGAGAACATCACAGGCAATCAGCATTAACAGTAAATCAAACATAAACTGAGGTTCCAAAGAAGACACGCCATTTTTTAAATTTTTATGCCAGCTACTATTGACATGAATTTTGCAGCCGTATTTATTCCAGCACATTAAATCTTGATCACAAACTTTACAAATTATTTTACATCCATCATAGAATAAATCCGGAAGTTCACCGATAAATTTATTCACTTTATCAGCGTACGGTCGTTTTCTACTCTTTACGCTCAACATTATTTATTAGTACTCTATACATCGACCGACATATAACAACTGAAGTGTGTCGTGTCATCCTCATCGTACACAAGCGCGCGATGGCATTGGTATTGCGCCCGACCCTGAATCTACCATCGCTTGGCCAGGCTTATATATTAATTAAAAAAGCTCTAAAAAATCAGCCGTCATATCATTTTATATTTAAAACCTGTTTCAAATACATGTTTTTATTTGTCTTCAACGGTTAAAGGGTTTTGACTATATTCATAGAATGATGGATGTGAAAAGCGCGTATTTCGATCAAATTCAGCATCAATGTGGTTTATTTGATACCAGTAGCAATTAGCGGTTATAATGCTTTAGGAGAGATTTGCCAGTATATTTGATCAGTTCCTAGTGTGGCAATAATTTTATAGACATCAATTAACATTTGATTCCACCCTGGGTGCCGTTTGAAGTAATTTCCAGAGGGAGGCCAAAACATGTTTAGGGCATTTAGAGTTAAGAACAGATAGTGAGGTAAAACTAACAGCGCCACATAAAAATAAAAAAATACAAATAAGGCGTAGTCTATTTAACTGTGCTTTAGGACCACGTGAGCATGAACGAAACTTATAAGTTCATATCTTTTAAGGTCTCTCAACAAGTGGTGTTTTCTATATCTAAATCAGTAAATCAGTATCTAAAGTTTCCAAATTATGCGGGTTTCACACTTCTTCCTTATAATTACTACAAGATGCGGCAGAAATAACTCAGTTTTGGAAGATAAATAAAAAAAACATCACAGATGCTATTAAAAATTTCATTTCACGCTCTGGAAGAACAGTGTTTATCATTTTTTTTCACCTTGTTAAAAACAATTATACCATTCAAATGCCAATTATTCATTTTCTATACACGTCTGAAGCCCCAACATGAAATTCCGCATTACTTTCCTGGTTATTTCTAGCAGTATTGCTGCAATTTCGTGTCGGATAACAGCCTTAAGCGCATCGGTTGTCCTCAGCCCATATTTGTAGACCTCAGCCTTCAGGTGCCCCTGGAGAAAGATGTCACAAGCGTGAGATCGTGTGAACGTGCTGGCCAGAGGATGTTACCTCGCAATGAGATTAGGCGCCCTTGAAATATTTCTCTTAGGACGTCCATGGATCCTCTCGCCGTGTGAGCGGTGGTACTATCCTGTTGGAACTATAGAGACGGATTTCCAGGAAGTTGCGTAAAAAGTACGGGCCTGTTACTCAAAATTCACAACACTGCACCAAATAGTAACACGTTGGCTGAAGATAGGTCGTTTATGGAGGTATCGAGGACAGTTTTGCGCCCATTGCTGAAAATTCTGCTTGTTAACGCAGAATGATAAATGAAAGTGAGTTTCATCATTTGAAAGCATAATAGCGTTCGCTGGAACATTTTGAAAGAAAGCCTGACAAAATGCGCTGTCTTGGACCCAGTCGTGTTCATTAAGTTCCTATACAACCATCATTTTGTATGGATGTAAGTGAAGGCCTGTGTGTAAAATTCTCTTCACAATTTGATCAGACATTTCCATAGTGTAGTGTAAAGTATCGGCCTCTCTCACTGCTTGGACGTTTTGTGATGTTCGAACGCTGAGAGGTCTACCAAGCGGTTTATTTTATAAAGTTAAACCTAGCAATATAGTCATTCTGTCAAGAACCGTAGCGTTTCAATCTAGGTTGAAGTACGCAGGATATTAATCGCTAACTGTGAGTTGCGATGACAGAATCAGTAGTTATAAAATAAGTTTCAATCACGAACGCACGATGCTGACCACTCCATACCATGATGGCGACTGGAATGGTAAGGCACTTGCTACGCAAGGATACAAATCCGTTATTTCTGCCGCACCCTTGATCTAGGTTTCTCTGCACTTTATGCCTTGTGTATAGTATTGTGTAGAGATAGTTTGGTGTTTTTCATAATTTAACCAAATGAAAGGAATGCTTTCTATCGTTCTGACTTATCTGTTGGAACAAATTTTGTGTATTGAATACTTACACTGCCCGTGTTACACAAATACTGGTTAGCAGTGAATATCATCTCTTGGCAGGACAGAATATAGTGCAATTTTCTTATTTGTTACTTACATTTAACAGTGAAAAACGCCAAATTATTTCTGCACTAGACTATACCACTTTGTTCATGTCAAGATGATGATCTTGACTACCGTCACCAGTTAGTTTACTTTTTAAAATACTTGTTATATAGATTTTCTTAAAAAAAATCTATATATACATTTATGCTCGGCGACTTTGGACCCCCGTATCTCGAGAACGGCTGATCGGATCCACCTCAAATTTGGGATCTATCCGAATCTCGAGATTTCCAGAAACTTTCCGTCTGTCCGGAACTCCGGAACTCCGGAAGTCCTGAAACTTTTCTTTGAAATGCGATAACTGTCCCAAATATTGACCGATCGACTTCAAACTTTTACCAGAGGTAGACCTCCATGGTCTACATATGCCTATTGAGCCGGTTCCGAAAACGGCAAGTGGGGCAAAAACAGCCCAACAACCAATTTTTTTACCTTCCTTTGAAATGCGATAACTGTCCTAAATATTAACCGATCGACTTCAAATTTGGAACAGGGGTGGACCTCTAAGGCTGAAAACAGACGAGGCGTTTTTTGCCGAGTCGGCCGCCGATTCTGCAGACGAAACGTCAAAACAAACGAGGCGGCTGGACACCGCGACGTTTTCCGTATGATCAAAACACACCGAGCGTTTTATAAGCATTAGTAAATTTACTCAGTACGTTGTTGTCAGTTCATTCAGACACCCGTTTTGAAATAATGGATTCCGATGAAGAGTTTGTGATACATCTAGGTGTATTATACTGCAGATTAAAAAGAAAAAAGAATCGTAAAATGTGGACACACCCAATTATTAGTGAAAGAAAAAATAAAGGATACTTTTACACATTGTACAATGAAATCAAACAAGTCGATGAGAAGTTTTTTAATTTCGTTAGAATGTCTATGACATCTTTTAATGAACTATTAAATTTCATGTATTAATTGTTCGATATTTATTTCCATATCTGTCAGTAAAATAATTAAAAAATTTTAAAATCACGTCAAATGGCAACCATGCAGTATACGTACCGATCAAAAACCGCCGGTGTCTGTGTTGCACAACAGTGAGTACATTTATGAAGGGCCGCTTAAAGTCATAAAAACGCTTTCGGCACATGGTTGGGAACACCGTACGCTCGTCGCGTAGGCGGTGACATTCGTCACCGACATCGTCTGTTTTAATACATTCATAATGAGTGAAGCAAACGACGATTCGTCTGCAGAATCGGCGGCCGACTCGGCACAAAACGCCTCGTCTGTTTTCAGCCTAAGGGCTACATATGCCTATTGTTTTGGAGCCGGTTTCAAAAACGCGAAGTGGGGCAAAACGGCCTAAAAGCCATTTTTTATTTTTTTTTTTTTTTTTTGAAATGCGATATCTGTTCAAAATATTGACCGATTGACTTGAAATTTGCAACAGGGGTAGACCTTTACGGTCTACATATGCGTGTTGATTTTAAGCCGGTTCCGGAAACGGGAAGTGGGGCAAAAAAATTTAAGAATTTTGTTTTTTTTTTTTGAAAATGCAATAAATGCCCCAAATATTGACCGAATTGGTACAAATATAAGCATATTAGCATAAGACTCAATAAAATGGATCACAAGGAACTGATTCCGACTATTCAAGAACCGCTCCGATCATTCTCGAAGGCGTTATAAGCACTTTTAATAGCGGAATCGTTTTCTAGGTAATCGGACCCAAGACCCAAGGAATCGATTGGAATCATTCTGGAACCGATCCGATGTACTTTGTCCGACTTTTGAAAATCTATAAGGCATCTTCACCGCAGCGGTGAATGTACCTCACTTGTTAATGTCTATTTTTTAGTTTTAGTTTAGGTTTGTATATTTTAATTTTTATAACAAATATTTGCAACAACACGAAAACAATTTGTTACTCGACCGCAAGTTCATATTAAGGCCCATGATTATGACATTTATTTCCTTATCAACTCTGAACACGCGAAAGCATGGTACTGTGAGATTTAAATTATTGTTAAAACAGTATAGTTAAGTTTTTGTTATAATTATTAATATTTGTTATTTACTTTGCGCTATATTTTACTTTGTGCTTTTGGAACTCCCACTGGGGGTAATGCCATTGAATGTCCTCCCTTAACGGCGCCCATGGATTTCATATGCATACATTGAAACGATGAAATGTGTTTTATAATGTTTACTCAAAATCTACATCAATACTGTGGTGCAATTTATCGCATAGCTAGTAATGTTGCACTTACACTATTTAATCAGAGGTTCTAAAACAATGTGTCTTTATTTTAAACTGATCCACTTACATTGCTATTTCTCGCATATTACAGTAATTTTTTTTCGCTCTAAATTAAGCGAAATGCAATAGAATTATAAATGTAATAGTTGTAATGTCAGAGGTTACCACTTTTGACATGTGAAGTTGTCACACACAGAACCACTAGTACATTCAAGATTGAGGTCAGTCAGTTTCCAGTGTGGCTTCGTGGTCGAGTGGTAAAAACACTTGCCTCTCACCCTGCAATCCCGGGTTCAATCCCCAGTCGAGGAGCTGGGATTTTTTCTAAACCATAAATTAATCCTACTCGGACATTGGGTGTCCATTGTCTCCAAACGTGTAGCCTTCTTCCACATATGGTACCCTTGAGATACCTTCAGGGATACAGGAGATTGTATTACCTGTGTTATATACAGGGTGGGGCAATAGTGCGTCGGACCTCGATATCTCGAGTTCTACGATAGCTAGAAGAAATTAAAAAAAAAATTGCAAGTAAACTAGATAAAAAAGTCTATAACTGGAAATTATTTTCGAACATACAGGGCGAGCCAAGACGAAATTACAGGACCAAGTGCCTTTTTTTAAATGGAATGCTATGTATATCAGTACATTTTTTGAAGAGTCCTTCTAGACTGTATTCATTCCTATATTATTATTGGCTATCTCCCAACCACTTTGCTGTAATAAATTTTTTTGTTGAAATAATGCCATCTGCAGATGGATATTAAAAAAATCATCACAGTCACAATTATGGGTTTTAAGAAATACTTATGTGAATACCAGTTGCGAGACATCTAATTAATGTTTCTGAATCATTTTCATTTCCGAAAAATGTACAGGGTGGCCAAAATTTAGTATTCAATTAAGGACTTTTTAAATTGAATTTTTTCAATTTTTTCAAATGGAACCCTGTATATTTTTCAACGATGTGATGTAAAAATGAAAAACGAACATTTTTTTGTAAGTACTTCCCTATGGCTAATTGCAACCATTGTCGTTTTATAAATAAATAAGTGTCAAATTCAAGAATAAACTTAAAAAAGAGGTTCCCTCAAATAATTCATTAGGAAAATTTATAATAGGTGTTCAACGTGTTGCCCATTTTGATTGACACACGTCTTTATGCAATTTTGAAATGAGGCCATTTAGTGGGACCATTTCCATTGAAATGAGTAAATAGTATTTAACCAGTCCTTTACTGTAATGTTTTTTTGTAAAATTTTTAGCTGTTTTCGTTATTCGACAAGCAATAAAACCTCAGTTTGGTATAAATTGTCAGGTACAAAGGAGCATTTATCACACTTATCGGTCGTTAGTTACAATTTGTATTGAATTTAAAATATTTGGAATTTTACAATATGAATTTTAATAAAGCGGAACTTGTAGACATGACTTTTGTTTTGGGCGAGTCAGATAGAAATTGTTTACTTGCCAATAGAATTTATCACCAACGTTATCCTGAAAGAAGGCTTCCTGATGTTACCAGCTTCCAAAACCTTCTCGATAGATTTCTGGAAACTGGAAATGTCGAATATAAAAAAAGTGAAAGAATAAACCGTGTTGTGAACGAAGAAAATGAGTTTTCTGTAGTGCTGACAACGGTTGAGAATCCCCATGTTAGTCAAAGGGAAGTAACCTCATTAGTAGGAATAAGTAGACGGTCTATGGGTCGAATCTTAAAAACAAATAAGTTGCAAGCATATCATATTCAAATGCACCAGGAATTATCTGATGATGATTTTCAAAAGCGCCTACAATTTTGTAATTGGGCCAGAGGTAAAATGCAAATTGATGTCAACTTCTTCAATAATGTTTTATTCACTGATGAGGCAACTTTTCATAAAAATGGATTTGTTAATAGACACAATTTCCATTATTATGCTTCGGAAAATCCTCACTTTTTTATGCAAGTTGATAACCAACACAGATGGTCTATAAACGTTTGGGGAGGAATTATTGGAGAACATGTAATAGGGCCACATTTCTTTGATGGTACATTGACTGGAGCTATTTATCTTCATTTTTTGGAAAACCATCTGCCACAATTATTGGTAAATCTCCCTGGAGGAATTCGAAATAGGATGTGGTTTCAGCAAGATGGTGCTCCACCACATTATTTAAATGCAGTTAGAGACCCCTTAAATAATACCTACCCTCATCAATGGATTGGAAGAAATGGACCCACTAAATGGCCTGCTAGATCCCCAGATCTTACAAAAATGGATTTCTTTTTATGGGGATACGTGAAGGAAATTGTTTATAGAGACACACCAACAACAGTACAAAATATGAAGGAAAGAATAATAACTGCCTTTAGATCTATCACACCGGCAGTTTTAGGAACAGTGGAACCTCATTTCAAAAGCGTATAGAGATGTGTGTCAATCAAAATGGCCAACATGTGGAACATTTATTATAATTTTTTCTACTGAGTTATTTGAAGAAACCTCTTTTTTTTTAAGTTTATTTTTGAATGTTGTAATTATTGCTCAATAAAACGAAAATGGTTGCAATTAGCCATAGGGAAATACTTACAAAAAATGTTCGTTTTTCACTTTTACATCACATGGTTGAAAAATATATATTCCATTTGAAAAAAATTGAGAAAATTCAATTTAAAAAGTTCTTAATTGAATACTAATTTTTGGCCACCCTGTACATTTTTAGGAAATGAAAATGATTCAAAAATATTAATTAGATGTCTCGTAACTGGTATTCACATAAGTTTTTCTTAAAACCGATAATTGTGACTGTGGTGATTTTTTTAATATCCATCTGCAGATGGCATTATTTCAACAAAAAAATTCATTACATCAAAGTGGTTGGGAGATAGCCCATAATAATATAGGAATGAATAGAACCTAGAAAGAGGCTTCAAAAAATGTACTGATATACATAGCGTTCCATTTAAAAAAAAAGCACTTGGCCCTGTAATTTCGTCTTGGCTCGCCCTGTATATTCGAAAATAATTTCCAGTTATAGACTTTTTTATCTAGTTTACTTGCAATTTTTTAAAAAATTTCTAGCTATCGTAGAACTCGAGATATCGAAGTCCGACGCACTATTGCCCCACCCTGTATATTTAACATAGTTTTTTTAGTTTTACGTCAACTATGTTTTAAGGCAACTCTAGAGCATAGTACATAAAATATTTCGGTGTTCATATGCATAGTTTATTTCAAACTTATTTACAAATTAAAAACGTCGACTTCTTTGATGACGGCAAAGGGATCAAAGATACCGACGTTTTTATGTTGCAAATAACTTTGTAATAAACTGTAAAGTGTTTTAATTTTTTTTAACAAAACTTGTGCATTTTAGTGCAAAATGTGAAATCAAATTAAAGTTATCTTACTTGGTTTCTGAAATATCCTGAAAACACTGAAAAATTATATTTTTTTCAATACTTCTTTGACACAGCATTTCCAAAATGGGACTCTGCTATAATTTCACCCATAGATGTTGTCAGAAATGATGTAGATTGTTTTATTTCGATATTTTCAACAAAACTGAAAATACATTTTTTTTTCGTTTTTCAAGCTAAACTCAAAGTAAAACTGTTGAAGTTATACGCAAAATGACAAAAGTGATATGATTATGAAAAAGCAATATGACATCCTTAAGAAAGAAAGTTGACTATCACTATCGCATTTTGAGAACAAAACAAGCTACTTTATTTCTGGATTATTGCAAATAGCCGGAAAAATAAGTGTTTAAAAAGATATATGTTGTATTTATCTATGATAAGTTTGGAAAAAGTAGTAAATAATAATTAGCAAAAAATTGTTCAGCGTTATTATTTTTCCATTTCACTCTATATAATTAATTATTTATCCAACAACGAATCAAAAAAATTAATAATAATCTTTTAGGTAGAAAAATAGATTTGGCAAAGAACTGAAATTTTCTTAATTACAGAAGTACAACTAACACAAAAGCAATAATATATTACAAAAATTAATGTCATTAACACTCACACGTTCCTATAATTAATTTAAAATTAAATAATTTAACATTAATAACAAAACTTATTATTATTATGAATAAATTTACATAAAATGTGAATCCAGAAGAGGGAAAGAATCATAAAAAAAACTAAGGACAAAACAACTATTATTTTTTCATTTTGCTTTGCAAGTAAATAAATCAACATTTACATAAAAGAATCATAAATGATTAGTAATACGAAAATTTACTCATAAGAACTACGAAGTATTTTTTTTAAATCATTTTTAACGTCGGCGTCGTCCTATTTCCTTTACCAATGCCTATCACTGACGTTAGGAGACGAGCTACCCCCAAACTTGAAATTTTACCGAACCACTCTGTCGAAGAGTAGGGATGTTCTATTTGTCTAACATCTTGTAGACGAGGGACCGTCTGCTTTACATCCCCCGAAGGATGGTATGTCCACTACACAATCCTTATCTAAGATTGCATAACTTCTGCGTTTTAAGCTTATGTACAAACTGCTAGAAGATGGGTGAAACAGATGTGTTTCGCTGGACTGTAACAAATAGGACAAGGCTTTGTTTGTGTTTTGAAGACCTGTTTCTTTGATTTCTCCCTAGCTGGGTTATTACTCTTTTTAATTAAGTGCCACGAAAATTAATTTTAGTTTGCTGCCTTGGTATTTGATCGTAGGAACAGAATTTTCTCAAGGTCGATTTTGATTATACGGAGAGGTAAGGTAGCCTGTTCATAGCCTCGTTGAAATTTTTGTGTGCCTTTGGCTATGCTAGCAGAACTGAGCAAGACTTCAGCAACTCCTTTTCGGCAGTCCTGACTTGGGGGACTTATTTCTACCTCAGACTTTGTAGCTAAAGGATTTAATCAAGCGGCTTATGCTTTTTATTTATTTGCTAGGGCTAAAAAAATTTACACAGGGGATTCCTGGCAATTTGGCTTTTTTCTAGCCTGAAAATGACTATGGAATACTGAAAATATTTTTTTCAGTCAGTTTTTATGTAAAAATAAAATTGAACAGGGGGGTCTGTGCAAAAATATCTTTTTTACTTCCCTGCAAATGCTTTTAGAACTTCGAGATTTATTTTTTCAAAGTCACTAAAGGCCAAAAAATAATTTGAACAGAGGGATCCTTACAAAATTGAATTTTGCTAGTGAGATCAGGTGATTTGTGAAAGTGTAAAATTTATTTGACTAAGTCGTTAAGACCAAAAATAAAATTGGACAGGGAGTTCTTTAGATGAACGTAAAATTCGCAATCACAAAACACTATCAAAAAAATTTCTTGAAAAATTGTTGAAATTCAACAG